CCTAAAGTAGGTGGAGCCGGCCGTCGCCATCTTGGCAGCGCGTCACCGCGCGTCACTCCCCGATAATCGAAAATGGGCAAAAAGGCGGGAGCTGGTTGCTGAAACCACGACCACCTAGCTCGACGGTGGTGACAGCAGCAGCAATCCACCTGTCACTCAAGTGGCCACGCCCTTAATTATGCAGAACTTTAAGGCTTAATATAATTTAAATGGATGACTTATAAAAAAATTCACCCCCCTCACAGTTGTCATTCAACGCCATGAAACCCACGTACAACGCCCTAGTATTATGATGAAAATAAAATAAATAAATAAAAAATTAAATCTTCCTAAACTCTAAACTACAATCTGCATTTAATCTAAATAAACAGAGACTCTCTAAATAAACATTTGCTCACTAGGATTTTACAATTTTTAATATAACTCCGACTGGATTCGTCTGAAAGAAGAAAGTCATATACACCTAGGATGACTTGAGGGTGAGTGAAACGCAGCCTAATTTTCATTTTTGACTGAACTAACCCTTTAATGTCTAAATCATTTCATTTTCATGCCTCTCTAATTCTGCTGAGTGAGAGAATGTTATGAGGAAGGATTTAAAGCCCAAATTTGCTTTCACTCTGATTTTTTCCCTTTAGTGCCAGATGTCCCTCACAGTGTTGGCTTGTTTTGCTCTCATCGATTCAGCCATGTCTGCCAAGATTAGACTCTCTCACAGGGTCGCTAGCCAACCTGACTCTAACCAACTTCCTCCTAACCCATGTAGTTGCCTTCGAGCTGTATATATCATGCCAGATGCCTTGATCTTGCTTTGTCTGTATTTCTGGAATGATGTCCAATTGGAGAACGAGCGGTGTGGGTCGAGTGTGAAATGTCAGAGAGAAAAGGTTAGCTCACCCACGCCATCCTGGAGCTTCTGAGACAAAGGTGCTGTCACAGCCACCCTTTCTCTCCACACCGCTTCAGCAGCCACAGGCTAATTAGATCTTAGAAAGGATCCCTCGTAATCCAAGCCTTCTGGCTTGTGTCATCATTGCTTTCCCCCTCCCCAGGCCGAGGATCAACAACAGAATTCATACAATGTCACGCCAGGAATTTCATACATATGATGGCGGTTATCGATGCGTACAGCCTTATTGAAGTGTGTTTGAATGAGGTGGCCTAAGACGGTTTTTCTGTGGCCTGGCTTTGGCTGCTCATTGGTTGGATGTACTGTGTTGTGTCATCATGGTTAGGGTCACGGGGTGGGCTGGTGGTTGAAAGGTTGGCATGAAGAGCTCAGTCTCTTATTACTGCAACAGAACCGATGACTCGGTTTTCCAGGCCTTAGCAGATGTTGAACAGAAAAAGACTGCCCTGCTTTCTGTCTTGTAAATCCACCCCTCCCCCCGTTTGGATGTGAGAGTCTTGGCACAGATGGACATGACGAGGCAGCATTGTCAACATCGGCTTGAGTTGAAGAAACAATGTTTACTCAAGGAGTTCTTCAGCTGGGCTGTTTAACTTTTGTTAGAGTGTTGAGTGGATTTGGACAGCACAAGTAAGTTTTTAAAGGGGTTGTATCATGATAAATCAAATTAGATCAAATTAGTTTTTTTGCAGTATGAAACATGATCTCTACCCTTCTTCAATCTTAAAAGATCTATCAATCTGTGGTAACTAAGCTGCAAAATAGAGATTGAAGTCAGTTTTGCCTGCCTGGTCTTCAGAAACATTGTCCTTCTAAGTCAAAGTAAGGTTAACAAGATGAGCATGATAGATTCAGTCATTCTTAAAGTTGGCATGAGATGAAATTCACCCTGTTTTGTAAATACATATTATAGATCTCACTGTGAATGATTCATCTACAATATGTCTGTTTATTTATTTATTTATTTTTTGACCTCGTATGTTTAATCAAAATGTGATAACTCCATCTTCTGGTGAAAGACAGATTAAAAATTCCTCTTGATTTGTCACAAAGATATTGTTTTCTAGCTGGTTTAATATAGATGACATTTGTTCAAACTGCAAAAAGGCTTTCCAAGATGACCATTGTTTTCCAACATAATGAACTCACTGAGTTACATTTATACTCTACCGTTCAATAGTTTGGGATCAATACGATTTTTTTGTTTTGTTTTATTTCGAAGTTAGTACTTTTATTCAGCAAGGATGCTTTAATCAAAAGTGAAAGTAAAGACATTTATAATTTTGCAAAAGATTTCTATTTCAAATTAATGCTCGAAAGAAAACAATTAAAGTCATGAACTGCATTTTTTATTATTTTTTTATGTTCTCTGAGGTTCACTTATAATGTTAGTGTGATTTTTACATATAAAACATCATAATTTAGAAGTAATAGGCTATTTTCTATCCTGTTTTTGAGCCTCTCTGCAGAATGGTCTGTTTTTATAGGTGGGGCGCATTCAAGACTCGCAAATAAACGCCCACTGCTGTGATTGGCTAACAGGTTCGCTTATTAAAATAACAGATGGGCGCTGCTGTGATGTAAGTTACTCTGAAAACAACATGGGTCATTTGGGTTAAAAACGTATAAATACTCAGTATATATCAAACGGTCAGGAACAGACAATGCAATAGTGGTAAAAGCACGTTTACTCACACTTATGTGTTACGACATACTGTTGGATCCACTCTAGTCAGACTCAGCGGTGCATCATAGTTTACTTTCAGTCTCTCTGAAAAGCCTGCATCATGCTGTCTTGATTACCAGCAGTATACCATACCAACAGTATGGCCGGCAGCCATATCACCCTGTAGCCCAAGACTGGTTACCCACTGAAGCTAAGCAGGGTTGAGCCTGGTCAGTACCTGGATGGGAGACCTCCTGGGAAAACTAGTTTGCTGCTGGACAATGTAAAGCGCTTTGAGTGCCTAGAAAAGCGCTATATAAATGTAATGAATTAATTGATTAAAAATAAATTTCTGTAGCAAAGTAAAGCAAACAAACAGTGTTTCACTGACGCGATCTGGAGCTCTTTGCTCATTTTACCCCGTGTTTACACTGGACACGAGCGGCGCAACGCGTCTATAGACAACAGAACCCATTATAATAGTTGATTCTGTCACTGGATGCGGCACGGATAGACACAACAAATCCCCAATGAAAGCTTTGGAGGATTTCCTTGACTGAACTACGCTGAGAGCTCTCCATATGGAACGATGTACCTTTCTCCTCCCCCTGACAACAGCTGGAGAAGGTGAGTCCTGCCCTTAAAACTATTATGACCGATATAGTCCTACACACACCCATCCACCGCCAACAAATATGTGTCTGTGCATTCATTACATACATTGTTACATTCTACTTCAAGTAGTATTCATATCTCCTGTCAGTTGCAGGGCAGAGTGCAGAGATTATGTTATCTTTAAATGAAGTCATTGCAGTGACATCAAGTGGTGTTGAGAGATCATGTCACATTAGAGCGAGTGTTAATGTGTGTTTTGCATTTGCATAGGCTATCCCCACAGATGCCTGAAAAGAAAACAGTAATGGCACATTTGTTTTGTTGGCATGTGGAAAATCCGCATCCGCAGTGATGATAGATAACACTGGCAAAAGGTTAGATAAAACAAAAGTGTTCAAAGAGACATACACACATCGTTTAGTCGTTCTCAACTCCTTTCTCTGACCACAAACGCTCACACGTTTGCTCTGCACAAATGTCACTCTTCTCGGTTCAGCCGTGGTGAGGCATAACCATTGGATGGTTTTCCTCATTTGTTTACCGAGGAGTGAATTGCAGCCAGTAATAAAAGGCTTAAGGAAGCTTCTCCTCATCATAGTCGTGTTTTGAATGCAGGCTTGGCCAAACGGCCAATATGCCTTCTTACCTACAATCTGCTTCAGCCTCCATGTTGACTCTGCGACTTGTAAAACTTTCAGAGTCCACGCCCTGTGGCATTGTTTACACCTGAAAACTGGTTGGCCTGATCAGTTTTATCACAGCCAACTATTCCCACTGTGGGGAAACACTGCTGTGACAGCCATATGCCATAGAGCGGCTCACTACACACTAGATCCAGGGCTTTATCTTACGTGCTTTATTGCTTTTAGATTGAAATGTGAAGTTAAATTACAGTTCAAACATTGACGAAGTTTGGAATAATTAAGATTTTGTAATGTTTTTGAAAGAGGTCTCTGAGGCTCATCAAGGCTGCATTTATTGTAAATTACAAAAAAGTTATTTATTCCTGTGATGGCAAAGCTGAATGAATGAATGATGGCACTGTCTTCAGTGTCAAATGATATTTCAGAAATAATTCTAATATGCTGTTTTGCTGCTCTATTTATGTTAAAAACAATTTTAGCTGCTCAATACGTGGAAATCGTGATACAGTAGCATTCAAAAGTTTGAGGTAAGCAAGATAAAAAATTAAAAAAATAGAAATTAATGCTTTTATTCAGCAAGGCTGCAGTAAATTGATCAAAAGTGGCATTTATAATGTTTAAAAAGATTCCACTTCAAATAAATGCTGAAAATGTTCTTTTGATCTTTCTATTTATAAAAAAAAAAATTCACAGAAATATTAAGCAGCAGTTTTAACATTGATACGAACCATTATTAATTAATAACTTTGCATCAATTATAATTGATGATAGCTGAGCACCAAATCAGCATATTAGAATGATTTCTGAAGGATCATGTGACACTGAAGACTGATGAAATTGCTGCCATAACAGTAGAATTAGAATTTATTTTAAAGGTCCCATATTGTCAAAACTGAAATTTCCTGGCTTTTTTCATTTCTAATTTGAGGTTGTATTACGTTGATTCTGGCACCCAACATCTCAACAAGATGATATTTTAAGCACCTTATGTAGCCGAATCTGCGCTGGTTTGAATGGGCCGCCTTCAGTTTACCCTTTGTTTTGCTGCCTCCAGCTAGCGCTGTGACGTCGGCTGACCCTAGTTAGCTGTGGTTGGCCTGGCCGTGCGTCACTCAGAAAACAACAGGCCAGTCAGAAGAGAGGCTCATGAATATTAATTAGACAGGCCAAAATCGACCTGTTCTCAGCAGAGCTCCTGAGAAAGGAGCTGTAAAAATATATTGAGATGGTTTTTGGTACTTATACCGCAAATATATATTCTTAAGGACATCAAAACCTAAAATAAAACTCCAGAAAGGTGTAAAATATGGGACCTTTAAAGTATAACAATATTTCACAATGTCATGCTTTTTACAGTATTTTTGATCAAATTAATGCAGCCTTGGTGAACATAAATATTAAAAAACATTAAAGAAACATTGTAATCCAAACTTTTGACCGGTAATGTAGTTATGTATAGAAGCAGAGATGGGGGTAGCAGAGGATAATACTCTCATGTGGAGTTTAGCTGAATATATGATCTTAGGCCAACTTTTAGAGCTTCATTATAAATGCATAACCAGTGAGCGGTTCACTCCACTTCAAGGGCTGTCTGAGAGGCATCCCATGAATTATGAAATATAGCATTCAGAGGATCAAGCACAGTTAGATCTTCACCACTACAATGTATATTTCTGAATTTCGTTTACATTGCTTTCTTGTTAAAGCTTTTTAATTAAATCCAGTTTTCTTCTCATCTTCAGGAGTGTTGTCATTGTGTGTTCAGATTGTGTCCTGGTGAAGCCTGAATACTAACCACAGCATTTCTCTCTGATTCTAACCGTCTCCTTTTCTTCCTCAAGGATGAATGTTCAGCTATTTCTCAAATCTCTTCTCAGTGTAAACAGCACTAACTAAACCTGCCAGATCTTTTGCTAGCTACCTCTCAGAGCCACCACCCCCCTCCTCCCCCAGAACAGATCGTGAGCTCAGCGTGTTTGTAAGCCCCCTCCCTCTTTGCTCTGGGCCAGATTAGCATTCACTAATGACCGTAGTCCATGTTTTGGTTTGTTTTTTTGTTTTATTCCGCTGTGGCCATTTGACCTTGCACAAATATATGTGATTGAATTGTGGGTGTGCTGCTGCATGTGTCTTCTTTTCTTTTGGGATCTTGCGCTCTAATATAATCTCAAACGAAGGGCCAAACAGATGTTTTCTGTCTGCGCGGACATTAGAGGTTAAGCTAGATTTAGGAGGTGTCAGAGAGCGATCACAAATTATTTTGGTATTTTTAATGATTCAGGTTGTGTTTGTGAAGTCTGCCGTTTGTTGTCTGATAGTGTGACAAGTCACAGAAAATGTGCTGATTCACTAGTGTTTGGTTTGTGCAGTTGTAAAATGGCTTAAGGGACGTCTGCTTGGATGTTTGTGATGCTTTAACGCATGTAAAGAAGGGGCATAGGGAACTAGTTACTGCTTTGCTCAAGGGAGAAATCAAGGCCAGTTGGCAACACATAATCGATTATGGTTTTAGGGGCAGTGTTCTTGAAGGTTCAGTGGGACTTTCCATGACAAGAGTATAAAATGGGGCCTTAAAAATGCTAGATTATTTTTGTTTTCCATGTTAATGGATGTTTAACTTTCAGAAAATGTCCTCAAGAGGTTAAACTAATGATATGAGCATTATATTCTGAGAAACCCAAGAGCTTGTAACACTCCAAAGAGAAAGGAAAAATTTAAATCGCATCATATGACCCCTTTAATAATTTGTTAACAGGGTTAAATGACTTTTCCAGTTGTTCAAAATTTACTAGAATATGATTATTTTATAGGGGGGTGATTCTTTTCTATACCCACTGTATGTATGTATGTAAAAAAATAATTTTTTTTTATTTAGAAAAGAATCCCCCCCCTGTAAAATAATCATATTTTGTTGCTTTGCAGCCTGAAATGAAGACGAACACAGTTTTTGTTTTATCCAGCTGTATTTACTTACTTTTACTTTACTTTTACTTTACTACTTACTTTACTTACAACTTATAAGTGAAAGATAAAAACATCAACATGTCAGAAAAAAATAAAAAAACAGAATCACTGAGTATGAAAAAGGAGCACCCCCTTGTGTCAGTATTTTGTTGAACCACCTTTTGCTTTAATTACAGCCTTTAATCTGTAGGGATTTGTCTCTACAGTCATGGCCAAAACAACCAAGGGAGTGGGCTCTCTCATAATTCTGCCCAAAAACACTGCCATGAATAAAGAACGGTATCAAAACGTCCTGCAAGAATGACTTCATCCAACAATCCATGAGCAATTTAGTTATGATCCGTGCATTTTAATAAAAGCCTTTAAAACTTATGATATGCTTATCATTGTTTTTCAGCATACCATAGAAACGTGGAAAAATAATCTACAAATACTGAAGTAATACTTTGCAAAACACAAATTTAAAATTTATGTCACTGCCAAAACTTTTGGCCATGACTGTACTAACTTTGCATATCTAGGCTTTGCAATATTTGCTCACTCTTCTTTGCAGAACTGCTCAAGTTCAGTTCAATTTGATGGTGACGTCCTGATCCAGGGAGGGTCTGTGTTGTACCAAATACCTTCCACTTCTTAAAGGAGCAGTAGGAGATCTTGGAAAATGCTAACTTTAACCCGATAGCACTGAAAACAAACGTCCCACCCTTCCTGCAAATCGCCGTCCAAAGCCACGCCTCCTGAACGCATGAACGTGCACAGACCAGACCACCAGAGACAACATTTCTACAATACATTGTGTCATTCACCAGTGAGAAAACATTATAGTACAGTTAGTAACAGTACTACAATACCAAGGAAGGAAGGAAGGTCAGGTTGTTGTTGTTGTTGTTTGCCTGCCATTCTCGCTTTGTCTGCACAGCGTACGTGAACGCGCTGATGACGTATCCTGTCTGCTCGAACAGGGTACAAATACATATGTTGACAGGCAGGTAGGAAAGCCTATCATAATGTTTGGACCGAACATTTTGATTGGACGAACATTTGGTCCTAGCCTTCCACAGAATAAATAAATACATATAAATATATTTAGACCACTCAAA